TCACTATGTTCACTGAGGTCTGAGACACTAGATTAAAGGTATCGCAATGAGACACAAGGTGAAGGAGGCACAGAGCCTTCTGAGAACTCCACTTAAGAGAGGAGACAAGCACACAAGCAAGCTACGCGACGCCAAGTGTCATCTTGAATGGGCAGATAAACACTCCGATAGGGGGCTGGAGGGTGGATCTGGTAAGTCTTCCCTGACATGAGGCCCTCGTTGCTGCTGTGGCCACGTGTATTCAGAGTCCAGGCCCACGTCTCATCCTCCTCATGTTCCTGATGGCAAGACTTATTAGCCCTGACAAGTCTAGTCCTCACCTGGCTCCCTGCTGCAATCTGCCAGCTATTCAGCGTCTCTGAAAGAAAGCTCTCTGCACTTTCTTGGATAACCAGCAGCGACTCTCAGAGGCAGTCTGAGAGACCATGAAAGAAGGGTCCAAGAGGAAGAGAAAGAGATCCACTTGAGAGCAGAACTAGTGACCCCCCCACTGGTAGAAGAGAAACAGTCCCTCCCCCACTTCCTTCCTAGTTCCCGATGACCACCTCCCCGAATTCCGTCAGGTCAATTTTGGGGCAAATATCTCCATAAGGCCCATCCATTAATTCATCATCAATAGTACTACCTTATACAGAGGTAGTTTATTTGCTCTTTCCCTCCAGACATCCCTGAGAATAAGTACAATCTTTGAGAAGAAAGGAAATGCCTGGGGCTTGGCCCACTGCCCAGAGGAACAGGTCCAGGCTCTGAGGCCCCAGGTGGATACTGCAAGTGCCAAGTGCACATGCAGGGAGGAGAGGATCACACTACCAAGGCCCAGACGCCTGCAACACAAACCTGCCTCTGCCTGCCTCCTCAACTATTTCAACATGCACATTCTGAAAAGGGATCGTTTTCTGGGCTAATTTATAAATCTACATGGTTAGCATTTCACGGTGTCCATGTCTACAAAGGACCGTAGAGATCAGTATATAGACAAAAGCGTGAGAGGTACAGGAATGTTAAGAGAGCGGCTGTGTCACTTGGCTATGAGAGTCACATCTAGCTCTCCCTGGTTCTGCTAGAGTCAGAGACAAATTGTCCTGCTCTGGTACAAGGTAATTAATTATTTACTTATTTGTTGCAAACTTTAGACTGAATGTTCCTTGAAAAATAGAACCATTCATTAAATTATTCAACAAACATCTATTGCTTGTGGCAGGAGCTGATTGCGGAGGCAGGAAGTAAACAAATAACTCAACATGGGTTTACCAGTGGGTAATAGATGAAAAGCACTTAGCATGAAGCTTGGCTCACAGTAAGTAGTCAATAAAGTGGCAATTTCTACAGAAGTATTCTTCAAGAACAATGGAAATAAGTGAGAGGGGAAAGTAAAGGGTCAGATCGTGACCAAACTCACCTGAAACATTGAGAAGTTGGGATTTTCCTTGGAGACAATGATGAGCTATTGCTGGGTTTAGCGCAAAGGAGTGGCATCAATCTGGAAGGTAACTGGCAAAACTTTGGAGAATAAAAGTTAAGAAAAGGCAATTGGGCAACTTGCAATAGTGTCCAAGTGAACAGTGGACAATGGTAAGAAGAAAAACTGCAACAGTGAAGCTTACAATAGAGAAAAGTGATTTAAGAAGTACAATTTCAAGGGCTGGGTAGGAGAGGTCAAGATAGGGACAGGAGAAAGACAAGTCTTGGACCAGGCCCTGGAGGCAAATATGGTGACCTTTACCAAAATAGGGCTACAAGCTGTATCTTTGTGGCAGAAGTGAAGTCAATTTAGAGAAGGTTATTTTGAGATACTTAAGGGACATTTAAGGGGAGCTGTCCCCAGACACATTCACATTTCCAGCTCTACAAAGGAAAAAGCTCTAGGCTTAAATAACTAATAAGGGTCAGAGAAGTGAGGCTGGCTAAAAGATAACCAGTCAACAAATACGTATTAACACCAGACTACTTTCCAGGCACAATGAAAAGTGATAAAGCAAAAGCAGAAAGAATTCCCTGATCTAAAAGAGATTTTATTATTGCCTGAAAGTAGACACACACACACAGATATAAACAAAAGAAAAATATTAGTGAGGGTGCCAAGCATAGAATTAAATTAGGGTGTGGTGTGCTGGTGGTTGGCTGTGTAGCTCCTCTGCCTTTGCACAAGGAAGGGCATAAGGGGTCAAAGAGAGCACTATAAAGCATGAGTTAAGAGAACCATATGTGTGGCCAACCACAGAACTGCAGTGGCCAACAGAGAAAGTGGCACATATGAGAATCAGGGACATCTAAACGTACCCTAGAAAAATTCTAGCAGCTCATGATTCCATCGAGGAATTAAAGTAGGCACTAGGTGTGATACACAAGTGAACAGGATGGTGGAGGCCCCTGCCCCTCAGAAAGCTCACATTCGAGTAGAAGGCACACATGCACCAGCCACATATGGGGTAGAGAATTGAAATAAAGTAACTGAAAGTTGGGCTAAGTGTTGTGAAAAAAAATACTCTATAAGGGGCCCGGCTAACAGTGAGTGATCTCTGTTAGGTAGCACAGTCAGAAAGAAGGCCATCTGAGTATGCAGTACTACGAAAAGGATGTTGGTATGGGGATTCCAGGTGGAAAGGCCCTCAGGTACATGGGCTTGGAAACTGGAAAGAGCCTATCACACTTGAGAAACTGAATGGCAGGACTGGAGAACAGAAGGTAAGGATGTGGGGAATTAAGGGGCACCACTGAAGACCCTGTTGGCTATGGGGAAATGTGCACTTCTTACTGCAAGGACAATATTGTGCTATTGAAGGGCTTTTCAAGCCAAACATGACCTGACCAGATTGTCCTCATAAGGAATTTCTCATCAGGAGAGGATCTAAAGTTTGGGAGTTGGCGACTTCTAAGTATACACTGCGTTTGGTCATGCTCTTATGACAGTGTGGCAGCCCTTTATTCCATCCACAAGTTAGGGCCAAGCTTCCATATCCAGAGTAACTCTTCCTTTCTGGATCCTCTCTCTGGCCTAAGTGCTTCCCAAAGAACCCCATAAAACTCACTAAAGTGTTTCTAATAAGCTTTTTCCAGCGTTGGGAAATAGATGCTTTTAAAAATGGACACTAACAAAATGAAAGCACATCCTAATTTCTAATGAAAATTTGTTTTTTCTGCCACTGCTTTCCATTAGCCCATGGCCTGAGTGATTGTTTTTGCTCTTTTCTCTGCCCCCCCCCTTTATTTTCCCAAAGGCCATGAACATGTGTACGACTATGAACAACAACAAAGAACTATAAATTCTTATTGATCCCAGAAGGTTGGACACTCTAAACAATAAAAAACATGTCCTCTGGTGGCTTTTTTGCTAAAAAACATTTTGGGAACAATAAAGGAGCATTGTTAAAACAACAAATGAGCTGCCGGGATGCTTTGGGCCAAATGAGAAGCTCAGGTCACCAGGTACTGTGGCAACAATGACTTCAGACAGACATGAAGGTGGAAGGACTTTCCTTCTACCTTCTTCAGGGCTGACTTCCTCATTTCTCAGCCTACATCTTGACTACATCAAGCTGAGTTTCCTATATAGCTTTCAGTCCCTATTGTTTGCAAGAGCCAGAATTCTCTGCCTAAAGAGAAAGTCCTCTTTGTCCTCCATCCATAATTTAATTTACATTCTCCTGAGCTCTCTGTTCACTTTGTTTTCTGGCTAAAATGTTTCACAATCATCTAGACCCTGTTTTTGAATTTCCTCGTGTTTCCATGAGTTGGAAATTTGCCTAGGTCAGCAACTGGACAGTCTCAGAATTCAGCTTTACCTTAGAGAAAAATCTTTATTATTTTATTTTCCTTCAAGATATCTAACTACTCTCATATATTTCTTCACAATTTATTTTCACATCTTTTAAAATGCAAAAATGTTTCTCTTCTGTGGCATTCCTAGGTAGAATGTCCCTTCCTTAATCCACAGATATCAAAGGGGTGCTCTTTTTTTTACAATGATTTTAAGTCACTTTATTTTTTTAGACTTATAAATTTTTGTGCTTGGGTTTCAGTTATACAATGATCAAGTACCCATCCCTCCACCACCACGGGTCCCAGCTCCCACAGGTCCCCACTCCCCATCCCCCCCGTCCCACCCTGCCTCTGTGGCAGGGCATTCCCCCTTGTTCTCTTTCTCTTCTTTTGGGTACTGTGTTTTGCAAGAGAGGCATTGAGTGGCAATCATGTTTGGTCTATAGACTACCTTTAGCATGCTTCTCACCCTGGGAGGGTCCTCACAACACCCTTTATTTGGTACTCTCTTCTCTATCTGAGCTTCCAAAGGGGTGCTCTTACACTACATTTTCCCCCTTGCTTTTCTCACTCAGATCCACCCTTTCCAGCAACCTCCTTTAATGCCATGATTACAAGAAAAGGTGACAGTGAACAGCTGACATAAGTGAAGCCATTTTAAAATGGAGTTGGAAAGACACTACAGGAAAACCAATTTGCAAATTTGGGTCAGACTTTTGGATTTGGCCAAAGAGCAATGAATTGTTTCATAAACAAGTTGCTTGAAAAGTACATAAGAGCAACAATATATTGTTTGGAAAAACTGATAACCATGAACCTTTATCTACTTGTACCTTATGACTTCATTACCTGATGATTATCTCATCCTGCAAAATCAGGCTTTTGTCCTTCCTTGAAACACATTTGAGAATTTTACCCAAATTTGTGCTCCCCAACTTGCAATTCTTTGTTCCCAAATAACAGCAGTTTACCTTTTAATGACCTCCTGAATTTTTAACTGGCCTTTCATGCTTTGACCTCTCTGTTCTCACCTAAAGTTCTTTATGAAGATGCAGTTTACTAGAAGTGGGTGAGCCTTGACCACAAAGTCAATGATAAGATAAGATATGAAAATAGGCACTGTCTTGAAACAAAGTTAGGTAGTAAATTAATTAGGATACAATATGGAAGAATGTTTTTTTCTTTCTGCTCCTTGGACACTTTAAAAAGGAAAATAAAATTGCAAGTGAAATAGTGCTCACCTGAATGTATTAAAATCCACCTTTCTTGTGTGAAGACTATCAAGAGCTATAAATACTTGCTGGATTTCTCTGGATTTTGATTGTTCAGCTTTCAGCTTTTGTAGGGCAAGTTTGATATCACTTAGAGGAAACTGAAAGGGCAGAGAAGAAAGGGAAAGTATTTAAAAATACCTGAAATATAGGGAGTGTAATCTTCCTGATGGCCGGATTTGGATCTCTTCAGTTAAGGCATTAGAACACTGAGCAACATCCCATTGCCCAGTTCAAAACAAAATGAACTGAAGGTACAGGCAACAGAAAGCAACCCGTCCGCCTCAACCTCTTCCCTTTAACTTCTGGACATTGAACCCATATATTGGGAAACACAAATAAAAGAATGTGGACACTCATTTTCCCAAGAGCCTTCAGTAGCCTCCAGGCCTCTTGGCCACAATGTTTCTCTACACTCAGCAGAGAGAGCTGGGTGTCACAGATCCACCTACACTGCAATACCCCACATTCAATTCTCAAGGAAGCCCCTAATCCCTGTTTCCTACCAAGTGATTTTTTTTGCTCTTTACTTTCTCAGACTTCCTATTCAATCCAACAAAGCCTACATTGTAAATAATAACAGCTGACCAGTAGCAATAGTACAGTGGGTAGGGCATTTGCCTTGCATGCGGCCAACCCGGATTCAAACCCTGGAACCCATTATAGTCTCCTGAGCATCGCCAGTAGTAATTCCTTAGTGCAGAGCCAGGAATAACCCCTGAGAATCGGAGGTTATGACCCAAAGAGCCAAATAAAAATAATGATGATGATGATGATGATGATGATGATGATAATAATAATAATAATAATTACAGCTAAGGACTAACAAAATCCTGCAAAAACCAAGTTTGGAAATAAGAACGCTGGTGGTCATTGAATAGAAAATTCTCATCCGCTAGGAAGCTTGGTGTCTATGGCAACTTCCCATCCCCCGCCCCTTTCCTGCATTTTCTTTCATCTACCTAGCTCTTTTGAAAAAATTCACCAGACTGACAATAAGGAGTACATTAATCTTCCTCAGCATAGAATACCTTTGTTAAGGGTAGTCTAAAGGTACTGCTGTTTTTGCTTGGGATGCTGATAATAGCTAATGTCCTACCAAGCTTTCATGTTTATGAAAGAAAAACACGCCCAAGTGCATATATTATACACATGCACACACATACTCATGCTTCACACACACACACACACATACACATGCATGCTGGTAGATATTCATACTATGTATTTTTATTTGGGTTAATGCTGTACTTGAAAACAGAGCCCTCATTTACAATACCTACACCGAGCTAGCATGCTATGAGCCACACAGAAGTGAGCACTTCATATAGATTATTCAACTCATTGTCATAGCAACCCTATGAAAATAGGCACTGTCTTACTCCCACTTGAAAGAGGAGGAAAGTGCAGCTCAGGGAAGGTACATGTCTAAGGGCCCTCGCTATTCAATGTGGAGTCAGATGTCCATGCTCAAACTGTTAGTCTCCAGATATCTAACTGCCCTATTTTTACATCTCTTATCTAAAGCATTCAGTGCTTTGGAATAGCAACCAGTTCTCAGCTGATAACCAGAATCCTTCCCGCTGTAAATGGAGAGCCCGGAGGTACTCCCTGGGCCTCCCACCAAGAGAGACCATGCAGAGAAGAGCTTTGTTAGCTGACATCCCCCAGGTGCTGTGCTTCAGGAATCCTCCACAGCATTCCTACCTTAGCCACACTCTCCCTAAACTTTCCTCATCCAATGACTAAGCCCAGAGAGGCACCAGCAGCTGGGTCATTCTGCCTGACATGGGACTGATGGGCAGTTGGCTATGGGTGTCCTAGCAGCTCTGGCCCAGAGTTTGTGTTGTGCTGCCTGTGAAGTTCTTTCCCCACCCCTTTTCTTTCCCTCCCTCTCCTTTCTCAGGGCTAAGAAATACACGACAGTCTACCCATACCTGCTCCCCTGCTTTTGCCCCTCCTCCCTTGATTCTACATTGGTCTTTTCCCCAAACAAATCTCTTGCATATATGCATATGTCTTGGCATCTGCTTCTCAGAGGACCTTAACTGTCTCATATCATGTGATACAGAGAGATTCATCTTGGCAACTTACCACTGAGAATTTAGTATAAATATGAAATGAAGCTGGTACTATATACATGTAATTGGCATATGAAAATTATTACTTAAAGATGGACGCTTTTCAAATAGTTTCCAGATTGATCTTTTCAATAATAATGATTCTCAAATGTACAAGTTTTCAAACTAAACTAGCCCACACTTAGAAACAATCATGATCATGCCAACATGTTCTTTTTACTGAACCACATGGCCACCATTGTACTTTTAATAATCGTACTCATCTGCCATTTTATCTCAAACAATAAAACTCTGAGCTCACTGTTGCCAATTTGTCATTGAATTTTTAAGTCTCAGGTAGCTCCTGTTGGGGAAAGATGCAACTATGCAACTATCCAGTTCCTTTGGGGTTTCTGTTTTTTCAGGTCTTGGCCTTCTCGGGTGGTTTGTGCCAATTAATTGGCACAGCACAGTGTGTGGCACAGAAATTTTCTTTTCTTTTCTATAGTTTCTGCATTCCCTTCTGAAAACATTGTTAGTATCAGCAGAAAACCCAAGAAACTTGATTCAATCCTGAGCCTGCCTCTGCCTGGCATTCATGATGCTGGGCAGCAGAGGACCCAGCATGTAAACAGAGTAGACCAGAACCTGGACTCTGTGACAGAACCTGGGGCCAAGTCACGCAGACCCATTATTCATGGCTACATGTGTGAATGTCCAATGTAAAACAGGTGGCAAAAGAAAGAAGAAAGGCCTACAGAAAGGAAAAAACAGAGTGCTGAGAGGCAAGTCAAGAACTATACAAAGCAAGTTCACCCTGTCAGGATGTTTCTCCATGAAGGTTAAGGTGTACTCATCAGCATTGAGCAGATGAAACACGTAGCCATTCACATTCACTTTGGTTCCAATATAAAACTCCTCAGGCTGAATATATTCCGATGGTTCACTTTTAAAGACTTCTTGCCCAGGCCTCTTAACTCGACTTCTTTTCAAGAACAACCCACCAGCGTACCCTATAGAAAAAGAGAGAAGTTAATGAGTAGACTTAATACTTCAAAGAACTATATGACTTGCCCTGAGCTAGTTCATGCTCAAACATAGACCATAGGGGATTAGCTGTGAACTCATATAACCTATTATTCTCACACTGAAGTGAAGAATGAAGCAGCTGGTGAAAGAAAATGAGACTTCCTAGGCAAATACAGAAAGATAAAAGTGATCTCGCATTCTAGTGTTCTTTCTCTCTCTCCCTGCCCAGGCCCAAATAACAAACACTTAGCATGGATCTGTTCAACGCCCAGCAGTGTGGTGAGAACTGGAACATCAAGAAGATATGATTCTTGCATGCCTGTTTGAACAGTACCAGGTACAAAAATTCCTCACTTGAGCTCATTTCCACCTATTTGTCCAGATGGTGTCTTATACTTGTTCTGACAGGCAGATTAAGTGTAAAATGCTCCACTTCTGAAAAGGAGCTTACTTAAGTGTATGAAGATAACTATGGGCGTCCCTGGAACTCTTTTGTTCTACAGGCAAAATATGTGCTTCTCTTTGCACAGTTGCGTGTTTCTTTCTCCAAAACATTTACCACTTCATCATCTCATTTTTTTTTTACTTCCTGCAATGAGCAGAGTGGAACTTGGGATTCCAATAACTTCTGATACTTAACTGTATCTCCAGACCTATAAACACAACCTGAGACAAACAGATGAGCTTTTTGAATCAGCTTCATCACACTACCATGCTCAAAAACCATGGATGAACATCTCCGAATTCTCACTAGTAAAATGGGAACAAACTGTGGGTGTCATGAAAATGTGTCTCTCAGTTAAAGAATCTCGTAGATGGAATGATCTGGCTGCTATGTTATAAATTCTGTCCCTAGGTTTGTACCCAAGTGATGCTTCCCAAAGGCTGCTGCCAGAGATACTAAGGCAAGGAACTCTTCAGCCAGTTGAATGTTCCTCCAAATAATACAGTATTTCCCAAGCTTATGTAGCTTTTGCCCCATCTGAGAAAAAAAATTATTGTGTTCTCCTCCTAGAAATTTACCTTTTAAAGACAAACACAAAGTGTCCCCCACTCAACTGTGCCTCAGGCTACACCAACACCCCCCTCCCTGGATTACTCTCATTCCCTACTCACTTTGGGAAACACTGAACATCGGCTTTAGCTTTTGGACTACCCCATCAGCCATGCCAAAACTGTCTCAGAATTTCACTGCAAAGATGGCCCCCATTTCCCCTTCCTTCTGTCCTCCACAGGAGTCAGAGTTACAGTGTAGTCTGACAGCTCTTCTACTATCCTCTGGCTCTTCCCAGATCTTTTTTCTCACCAAATTTCTTGCAACTTAATTCTAACTTTGTGATTTGCCTTTCGAAGGACCTGCATAAGCACAAATTTTAACCTCATAAAAGTTCTTGTAAAGATAGTTGTTGCTAGTCAGTTGTGACTGCTGTGAATAGTAAACTAGGAGTTGAGCATTACATCCCTTTTCTGTTTTAGGCATATTGCAATTTGCATGATTGCATCTCCCCCATTCTAGAAGTATGGAGTTACCTTTTTGGCCTTTAAGAGCCTGACTTTAAGTTCATCTCTATTTGATTTTACATTGGAATATGTGACCCATTATTCGAATCACAGTGAAATCTGACTTAGCTATACAATGTATTTATTATTCATTGATATGTTCATCCTAGGTCTTAAGAACAGATTATTAAATTTTCAGGGATTTGGAATATACAGTTTTTGTTTGTTTTGCTTTACTATTTATTTAAAATGTATTTGGGGAGGGATTCCCTAGTAGTGCTTGGGAACAACAGGGGCAACTCCCACCAATAATCCCGCCTGGCAGTGATGAATCAGTGCTCAGCCCTGGTGGTACTAGGGGTCACTGAAATCAAACTGGTAGTGTTTCAGGGTCTATGTAGTTCCATGGACCAAACAAGTGCCCTCAGGCATGCAAAGAAAGCAACCCAGCCCTTTGAGTTATCTCCAGGACCCCTAAATTTCTAGGGATTTTGGAAAAACCCTTACAGCAGTTGTTTTAGTGTTAGTTTCCTGAAATTGTCTATGGTGGGGTATGTATACCATGGAAATCTGAAAACAGTATAAATGAGAGCCTTTAAATTTCTTTCTTCCCAAATGGTGTCTTTTCAGCACCAACTTTTCAGACATTTCTGAACATTTTAGGGGCTGGAGTGATAGTAGAGTGCGTAAGGTGCTTGCCTTGCATGTGGCCAACCTGGGTTTAATCCATAACATCCTAAATAGTCCCCCGAGCACCACCAAGAGTAATTATGGGATCAGGGCCAGGAATTAAGCCCTGAGCACTGGTGAGTTTGCCCCCCAAAAAACCATTTTGGACAGAAAAATTCCAGTTTCATAATGTGTTAAGTCAAAATCAGTGGGGTTCAACAATGGCCATGGTATCCCACTCTACATGGAAGCTTCCCAGTAGTCTGGATGCTGGAGCATTGGCAACTGCTTCAACAGAGAGAAAAGTCAAAGGAAGATGGACTCTGAAGCTTAAATATGTTCATCTGGATTCTTGCCTTTTGATTAAGCAAACATTTTATAAAGAGTATTATCAACAATACAGATATGTCTCTTGTTGTAACTGTGAGTAAAACTGATGGTAGCCAGACTATAACTTGGCAGCCCTTGAAGTCTCTGAATGCAGAAGGGGTAATGATTGCCAAAAGGAGATATTACAAGCTCCCAGTCCTGACCCAACCCAAGTGGTTTCTCCTTTATAATTTTATATAGTTGAGTTCCCATTTAAGAGATCTTTGTCAAAATGAACCTCTAGTGGTTAAGGAAAGAAAAGACCAGGGATGTAGGTCAGTAGTGCAACAACACACATGTGGTTTGTTTGATCACTGATACCAGAAAACTAACTACTCCATCCTCCCTTCAGTATTCGGTAACTTTGGGGAAAAAAAAATCCACTCCCTTATGTTTGTCTAAGTTGTGAAATCCGTTCATTTTCCCTGAGTTTCAAAATAAACAGATGTTCACTGTTTGAAAAAAAATGCTATAAGAGATATCTCTTACCTGAATTCTTCAATATAGGTTCAAACACGGACAGTGTGTCATCACCGAGAAAATATGAAATAACAAACATCCTGTTTATCTCGGTATTTTTGCGTGAACACATTCTGGCAAAAAAACGTAATGTATTGCTTACATTGCCATAGCTAAATGGAAGGAAAACAAAGGTTAAAGCATCTTACAAGTAATAGCCATCATATATTTTTCAAAACCTATAAAAGTGCTATGTTTAATCGTGTTAGCATTGACAAATAACATTACATCAGTTTGGGGTGCATCACCCCATACATAATCAATTATTTTCATGTGATGAGAACTTTTATGATCTATTCCTGAGGCTGGAGAGATAATACATTGGATAAGGTACTTGCCTTACATGCAGCAACCCAAGTTCTACCCCTGGAACCCCATATGGTCCCCCAAGCCCTGTCACGAGTGATCCCTGGGGACATGGCACAAGTAAGACCTGAAAATTGCTGGGTGTGGCTACAAAACAAATAAATAAAAGCAAATCAAAAAGGATATATTCTTTTAGCATTTTTCAAACACGGTTACATAGTATTATTAACTTTATTAACTGTAGTCATCATGCTAGCAGCTACAACTTCATGATTTATTGATTTTTTAACTGAATATTTGTATTTTGACCTTCATATGCCCCACTCCAGCTTCAGGTATGCTGTTTTTAAGATAGCATAAACTACAAAATTAAAAAAGTTCAACATTCTTGGTAAGAATTAAGGTTCTGGGTCAGAGTAATAGGGTAAAGTGCTTACTTTGCATGCGGTCAACCTGAGTTTGATCCCTGGTACCCCACATGGTCCCCAAGCCCTGCCAGGAGTGATCCTGAGCAAAGCCAGGAGTAAGCCCTGAGGACCACTGGGTGTCGCCCCAAACCAAACCAAAACAAAAGAGAACTCAAAAAAAGAAAACAAAGAAAGAATTATTGTTTTAACTCAAGTGTTCAATAATAGATAACTGGATAGAGAAACTGTGATATATATGTACAATCAAATACTACTTGGCTATAGGAAAAAAATGGAAGCAGGCAACTTGGTGTCACACGGATGGGACTGGAGGGCATGGTGTTGAGAGAAATCAGTCAGGAGAGGGACAGATACACATGATATCTCATAAGAGTGTATAAAGAAACAGTAAGAGAATAACAAATGACGAAAGGCAACAGAATGTGAGAACTGGTCTACAGACTTGAGTGTACCCAAGGGGAGGAGACCTCTGAGACAAGGGTGGAGGGAAGCAAATATTCTGCTGGAGGGTGTGGTATTGGGACATTGCATGCATGAAACCCTGTCACTGTCACTGTCACTGTCCTCCCATTGTTCATCAATTTGCTCGAGCGGGTCCAGTAACATCTCCATCGTGAGACATGTTGTTACTGTGTTTGGCATATCAGATACATCACGGGTAGCTTGCCAGGCTCTGCCGCTCGGGCGAGATACTCTTGGTAGCTTACTGGGCTCTCCAAGAGGGGCAGAGGAATCGAACCCAGCTCGGCCAGGCTGGCTGTGTGCAAGGCAAACGCCCTACCGCTATGCTATTCCTCCAACCCAGCATGAAACCCTATCATTAATATTATTGTAAGTCACATAAAATAAAATGTACTATAGTAAAAATAATACACTTAAAGGAATTAAGGTTCTATATAGATAGAAGAATTTCATCCATTTATTAAAATATCTTAATTTTCTCAGGAGGTAAACCCAGCAATGCTCAGGGGTTACTCCTGGCTCGAACTCAGGAATAACTCCTAGCTGTGCTTGGGGGACAATATGAGACTTGAGGGATCAAATCCGGGTCAGCTGGGTACAACAAAAGTTCCCTACCCACTGTACTATCACTCTGCCCCCACTCCGGAATATCTTTTTTTTGTATGTCTGAGGTAACACACTGGGCAATGTACCCAAAACAAATGCTATAAAAACACTTCAAAAGAGCTGCATTAAACAGTTCTCTACTCAGAAGGATGTCCCCTGAGAAAACACCACCCAGCGCTGGCTGCCAGAGTCCTCAGGAGGGACTTTACTGGTGCCTGGAGCCCTATTCCATTTCACCCCTCATTTTCTCAAGCTCATTTCTTTTCCTTTATCTACTCTTTCCTTCCTCTCCTTCCTGAGTCTCTCTTCTAATTCCCCAGTGCCCTCCCCTCTACTTCCTTCAAGGGAAAACGTATCTTTCTTTTTCAAATCTTTTATCATGTCCTTGTCTAGCATTTATAACCCATTCTTTGAGGGACTGTCACTGTCACTGTCACTGTCCTCCCATTGTTCATAGATTTGCTTGAGCGGGCCCAGTAACACTGTGAGACTTTTTACTGTGTTTGCCATATCGAATACGTCATGGAGAGCTTGCCAGTCTTTGCCGTGCAGGCGAGATACTCTCAGTAGCTTGCCGGGCTCTCCAAGGGGTGGAAAAATCAAACCCGGCTCAGTCGGGCTGGCTGCACGCAAGGCAAATGCCCTACCGCTGTGTTATTGCTTCAGCCCAGGACTACATATTACTAACCATTGTCAAAGGTGCTGGTATTCAATAAATGCTTATACAAAGTTTCTAAAAGATCCATACAGATTGGAATATCCAATTAGAATTAATGAGTGAATAGGACAGTGTGGTAGACTGAAGATGGAATCAAATTCTAGAATCAAAAGTTCCCAGAGTAGAGGCCGGAGAGATTGTAAAGCGGGTAAAGTGGTAGTCTAGCTTGTGGCCTACCTGGATTCGATCCCTGGCATCCAGTATGGTTCTGCAAGCCCTACAAAGAATGTATGATACCTGAGCGCAAAGCCAAGAGTAAGCCCTGAGCACTACTGAGTGTGTCATCAAAACAAACAAAAAAATATTCCCAGAGTGGATTTCCTGGTCAATGAATAAATTAAAGTCTGTCAACAGAAGAATCAAGCTTGTCAGGAAGTGAAGGGACAGACTTCTCAACAAATACTAAATAAATCTTTATAGGGATCTTAGATAATCAAAATCCTTATACCAAGGAGGCAAATAGGAAAATAAAGCATGTACTTTAACACTTTCCTCATCACAACTCTGAGAAAGAAGACTTCACTTTCAGACCCTTCTGTGCTTGAATTCACTCTTTCCTTGTGTTTACAAGGATTTGAAAGGAGAACTAGGGTGGAGTGATAGCACAGCAGTAGGGCATTTGCCTTGAGCGCAGCTAGCCCGGCCGAGCCCGGTTCGATTCCTCTGCCCCTCTCAGAGAGCCTGGCAAGCTACCGAGAGTATTCAATATGCCAAACACAGTAAAAAGACGTCTCACAATGGAGACGTTACTGGGCCTGATCGAGCAAATCGATGAACAATGGGAGGACAGTGTTTGAAAGGAGAACTAGTATCTTTGATGTGCAGAGGCAGATTTTGCTTCTTTCTGCCCCTTTCTCCAACTGTCCAAGGAAGTAAGGCTGAAAACTCTCCTCTGAGATAAAACTAGCAAGTTTGAAGGCCAGTCTCAGGAACAAACAGCCTGGAACAAACAGACTTTCACATCGTTGTTTTCTTAGTTCTGAGTACTCCAGACTTTAGACAGGATTCATACAGTGTTAGGGGCAGCTACATCTTGTCAAACATTTTCTCTGGTATGTCATCAGGTTTATAAGAATCAGATTTAGCAGCGTTCTCACAAAAGACTCATTAACTTTCGCCAATGCCTGAGATATCACTGAAACAACTGAAGGAGATCTACCATCAGGTCAAATGTACACAACTATATATTCAGCTTCCTATAACTTATGTAAATTTATAGATGTATTTTAAGCTAATTTTTTTCACATTTAACATGCCATTTATTCACCTACTTCTTGTGTTCTGGAAATCCCATCAATCTGGAATAAAATCTACGTGAAAAAATTTTAGACCAGCAGTTCACAAACTTTATTTTGTATAAAAGGCACCTGAATTTTAAAGGTATAGAATCCATAATTCCACCCACAGAGTTAGTTTGCATCTCCAAATAGCTGCTTTTTGGTCTGTTTTTGGGCCAGACCAGGCTTTGCTCAGGGCTGACTCCTGGCTCTGAGCTCAGGAGTCATAGGGCTGACTCCTGTCTCTGAGCTCAGGAGTCATTTTTGGTCGTGCTCGGTGACCATATGGGATGCCAGGAATTTTATCCTGGTCGGCAGTGTGAAAGTGCCCTTCCCACTGTACTATCTCTCTGGCCCCCAGAAACCTGAATTTTTAATATGCTCCAGTAAATTCCAATGAAGTAGTCCCCAGAGGACACTTTGAAAAATACTGAGTGTTGTCAGATATTTCTTTAATAAGCTAATCATCAAACTTCTCAAGATACTCTTATGGTAATATTCACAGCACCGAAAAAACTTAAGCATTCTCCTTGCTTCCTAGTAACCACCTCTCTTGCTCAATTTGGATTTCTGAGACATGCATGTATAGTCTTTTTTTTTTTTCAAAAAACAAGCAAAATGTTTTTTTTCCTGATGACCTATAATATACCCTCTTTAAATTTTTTTTATTGAATCACAGTGATATACAAAATTACAAAGTTGTTCATGATTGAGTTCCAGTCATTTAATGCTGCAACAGCCAACCCTTCACCAGTGTACATATCCCACCACCAATCCAGTTTCGTCCCAGTTTCGTTCCTGCACTCCACTACCACTAGGACAGGCACTTTTTTTCTCTTTTCTCCTACCTCCCTCCCTTCCTCCCTCCCTCCTTCCCTCTCTTGCTACCCCCTGTCTCTCTCTATCTCCTTTTGGGCCTTATGTTTTCAATACAGATAATGAAAGGTTATCCTGTATATCTTTTTATCTACTTTCAACACTCAGTTCCTGTCAAATATGACTATTTTCAACTCTAATTGTCATGTTTATACCCTCTTCTTAAATCATAAAAAAGTTACTTCATTTACTGTCCATACTATACTCCTCTCTACTTCCAAGTCTTCACTTGGTGTCATCCCCTATTCCAGGGCCTGTGCCCTGTGCCTATACTGGATCTTGTCCACCCTTGTGAACCCCTATCAGGAACACTTCCTGACCATGACAACCCCTTCTAGTTCATCATATGCACATCTCCTTCACTGACTGAAAGCTACCAGACCCAATTTAGGGCTACACAGACTGATACTCTTCACTATTTTTTTAAATTATTACCCACT